AATGAGAAGAAGGGAGAGGAGAAGAGAGAGTACAATAATGCAGTTGTCGCACTGTGTTGTCTGAATGTTGAATTCATCTTGCAACAGGAACCGGGTAGAGGCTACAGAGTTTCCAAAGCACAGGAAGACCTGCAAACGCCGAGAACATAAAATCAAGATCTGACCACAATCATAATGAACTAAAACCAAGATCTACCAGGACATCATGAGGCGGATGGGTTCATAGGCAACAAAATTTTAGCCTTTCGAAGAAGCATTTGTTAATCGATAATCATTACATTAAAAGGCTAAACTCTTTAACATATAAGGCAGCAAGTTCTACATCATGAGATAAAATCCTTGTTCCCAAATTGAAAAATCCCAATTAACCTGAGTCTCAGTTAAGAACAGCGAAGATCCATGTTTCACACACCGCGATTTACAGTCTCCTTAATCTCATACCCATTTATATGCATCTATTTCTGAAGAATACATAAGAACAAGCGACTCTGTACCTCAGTGCAAAGGCAGAACTCCGGGCACTTACTCTCGCCGCACCTTCCACTGCAAGGCATGTAGCCAGCACAGCAAACATACCTTGACATGTCATTGTAAAGTGCCCGTTTGCGGAGCAAGTACGATACACACGGCCCACTACATGAGACAAATAATTTTATGGTTAGCAACAACTGAAGGCTGAAGCTTAGAGAAACTCCAAAACATCACTACAACTGCATGTGAACTTCGTGGAGCAACACAGCCACACAATCAATGACATTTACAAAAGAGAAAACACAACTTAGAGAGAACAAAATACATATGAATTCCCAGTGTGTACAAAAGTAAGAACATCTTTTTGACTTCGCTCATCATAGCCTATGGAAATGGAATCTACTACTCTACAACAACCAAGGAAGTGCTATTACACAACTGTAAAACAAATAAATACCATCGCAGAAGCAAATTGTTGAACATAAGCACAGTCCACTGTACTGACCCCATTGCAAAACTTCGTTCACTTAACAATCTAAAATACAATGGTATGGCAACAACTAGAAATTTGGCATGGCCAGCTCTGAATTATTACTTCACAGAAACCATTATTGATTTGTGCAGCATCTGCCTAGCTTGTACAGCTTTAAACCGTGGGGACAACCCTAAAGCCAGCATAAGGCTGACAACTAGAACCAATTCACCAGACAGTACCATAAATGTCTGGCTGACAGAGTTAACAAACAGAGCATTCTCAACTTTCAGAGCCAAACACCAGAAATTGAACAGATTCATACATTGTAGGACGAAGTCAACCCATGTCAAAACCCATAAGACTACCGCAAACGAGGAAACCCTCGACATTCCCAGGCAAAAGAAAGTTCGATTTGCAAGGTCACAGAAAGCGTCACAATTTCCAAGAAGCTAGATCTGGAACTCGAAGAAGCTATAGATCGGAAGAGGGACTTACCACCAGAGAGCAAGGCAGCAATCTGAACGTCGGGAAAACAGAACGACCCCAATCGCCGGGAACAAAGAAAACAATATCAAACCGGGGGCAAATTTTCCACAAAAGAACAAAGGAAAAGGACGAATATCAGAAGAAGCTCACATGGAGTGTCAGCCTGAATGGTGTGGACAAGATCGCTGTGCCAGAGATTGCGGTAGTTCTGGCGGAGCTGCATCTTGTCCAAGTGCGCCTGGGAAGCCATTTCTGCAGCTCACAAAGGTCAAGAAAAGCTGCAGATTACAGAAGGCAGAAATGATCAAGACCCAATTTTATATATAGTGCAGATTTTGAAGAATTGATGACTCTGAAGATGAAGGGCAAATGAATTTGATACGGCTGAATCCTCCTAGGAAGGAGCCGTCTTGATTTAAACCCCTTTAAAGAACAAGGCAATGTAACGGAATTGACCAATGAGGGAAGGTCTTGAAGGAGTGACGACGACTTTTCCACCGTTAGATTAATTTGGTGGGGATTTAGGTATAAATCTCACAAATTGTTTTCTTGTGTCAAGTGGTGCTAAGCGCGCTCTAACCTTTATTGCAAACTAAAAAGGTGGGGTGTTTGAGTCCCCGCAATGTCAAAATACAGCCCGTAGCTTAAAGTACCACGCTGGTCGCTGGATTTGTATCACGTGAACCTCTATGGGTAAAGAGTGACCAATAAAAGTGAGGTGATCAACCATAAAGTTCGCTTCCCTGTAAACGTACTCTATCTTGACAAGCCACGGCCGAGCTAGCCAACGACGGATTTATGCAACATAAGTGTAGTGTGGATGCTAGAGAGTAGCATTCTCGATCAGGGTCTTTGCAGTGCATGAGTCTGTCTGCAGGGTAACCTTCTTGACCCCCTCTTCCCAAGCCAACCTCAACGCGTACGCAATCCCATCCAGCTCTGCACGAGTAATCGAACCCCCTCCCAAGTTCGTTGTGAAAGCACTGACAAAGCGTCCATCGTCTCCCCTCACGATGCCGCCTCAGGTCGTGCTCGCAGGAGAGTGAGTGACTGAGCCATCTGTGTTGATATAGGCCCAGCCCCTCGGCGGTGGATGGCAGTTGATGTCCCGCCACTCTCGCAGTCCCCCAACTCCAAATATAGTACTCTCCTGTTCAAAGGCTGTGTGGATCTGTTGCCTTAGCTGTTTGGTGATGAGCTGGATTTGCTCATGGGTTTTCAGCTTGCTCCGGAATAGGAAGTCGTTCCGGTTCTTCCACAGAAGCCAGCATGTGCCTGCAAAAAGAGTGTTGTCAATGATATTACTGCGTCCTGATAAGTAGTGCAGAGACCACCGGTGGATGTCTGGCTCGAAGAAGTTAGTGTCTGGCTCGTCTTCAAGGAGTCCCGCCCAAGCAGCTCTCGCAAATGGGCAATCCCGAATAACATGGATAGTAGTCTCCGAGCCCCCGCCGCAAGTCTTGCAACTTGTATAGACGGTCAAATGCCTCCGTCCTCTCTCCGCATTCGTTAGCAGGCGATCATGGTTGAGAAGCCAGAGGAAAGTGCACACCCCTCCACAGGTTGGATAATCTTCCACTGGTCTTGAGTTGTAACCTCTCCTCGATCTGGCGGCAATATTTTGCTAGGATGACACGTGCCCAAAGGTCATCCGGCTTCGTGAGAAGTCGCCAGAATATCTTGAGCAGGTATGCCTTGTTAGTACGCGTAGCACCCCTGAGTCCAAGGTCGCCCTCCTCCTACGGTCTACAGATCGTCTCCCAGTCCACCAAGTGGATTTTTCGTCCCTGTTCCGAGCTCCCCCAGATAAATGCGCAGATCTTCTTATCAATGTAATCTCTTACACTAGCCGGTAAGAAAGTCGTCTGCAATGTATAGGCTGGCAATGCCGAGAGGATCGACTGGGCGAGGGTGATACGCGCTGCCATTGACATTGATGATGCTGACCACCCAGCCAGATGAGCGTCGATCCGATCGATCAATTCCGTAAAGGTTGCTTTGGAGACCCGGTCATGGATCAACGGCACGCCAAATCTCACAAATTGTAGTAATGAATAAAAAAAATTATGTTTGGTTAGTAATTGGAGCGTGGTAATTTGGGTCAAATTCCACGTACGTAAAAATTATAATTAGAACATCCATACCTTTATGTATTTTCGCATTCCCATGTTTTTCTTTTCTCACCCAATTCTATTCCTCTTCTTCTTCCTCCTCCTTTCTTTCTTCTTCCATTGCATAATTTTCCTCTTCCATCTTATAGAGATACAAATAAGTTGGTATTATAATCAAATCTCACATCATCAATTTTTACAACTTTAAACTCATTTCCAACATGGTGGACATGGAAACTTCATTCGATATTTGTCCACGATGTCGAAAATGGGCTAGTTTCCGATGGAGCATGTGAAAAATGAAGAGAGGGAAATACTGGCCTTTATAAGTCGAAGCTAAAGCTAGAGCAACAGCACTTGCACGGATTCCTTTCGCTATTTGCTCTTCTCATTACATCACATACTATGCTTGCTAATGATCATAGTAATAGTAATTATCTGGTTTGCTTATTATCTGGGCTAGCATAAACTTTACTTACATAATTAGGAGGAAAAAAATAAACTCTGGATAAGATAGAAGAAACCGAAAAAGAAAATAAAAACCCATTTTTATGAGTTCTTCTATCTATCGCCTGCTCGGCTGGAACCAGTGACCATAGTCTGGAATCGGCGTAGGCCAGAGAGCAACCTTTGGCTGGAATATGCTGTAAACTGGTGTCTGTTCAGTGACCACCTCCATCTCTTCACTTCTCATATTGCAAACAACAAACTTCCTAACGGAATCACATCTAAAAAGTACCATTTCGGAGTTCTCTGAATGCAGGCCAAGTACCCCGGCTATGGAACCGATCCCATGATGATCAAATTCACCACCACTAATAGAAATCAACTTCCCCAAGAACACTCTGTAAAGTCTTTCCCAACTGCCTTTCTCTTCCTCCAGCCTCAACACGCTCAAAACATCGTCCCCTGTTTCCCAGACAACCATATGCAAGGCGCCTTGTGAGACCGAGACCGTAGATACGGACTCGGTATTCAGTGAAGCTGGCGGTAATGGTACAGGATGATCATCATCATCGCGTTGGTGGACTGGATCGAACCTCGCCACTACTCCTCTGCAGTCATCCTGGTGATCGCGTAGGTAGAAAGGATCCCACCTAACAAGCACTCCTCTGTAGTGATCCACCCAGTACAGCTTCCCATTCAGTGAGACTGCACTGCTTTGATAACTGTCAAACCTGGGTAATCGAATGTCAAGAGCCATACACTTCCACTCCCTAGATTTCGAATAGAACACGACCAATTCTGAACGTGACGCCCGGGTATCGTGCATTATCACCACGCAGAATTGACGCACGCAGTGATCAGTGAATGCCTCTCCTTTGTCACATTTGGAATTGGAGGCCTCGCAAACTAACCTTACGAGACCGCCCCCGAACCACCAAGGGGCTAAAGGAAGGACGACCCATTGCTGTGTAAACAGATTGCAGACCATGTAACTCCTGCCCAATTCCTCATCATAACCTAATTTGAGCAGAAGCAAGTCCCTGAAGCAATCCACAATGACGGCACCGAACCGGCTTTGTTGATTGGGCAAGCGGAGAAAGCTCCAGATGGGTCCTCGAACGTAGGAGGGAATCAGAAGAGGCGGTTTGTCGACGACGGCGGACCGGATCCGGCGGTGGTGAGAAACGAAACGGCGGGAGAAGTAGGGGGCGGAGATGAGTGAGTTCCATCCCTTGCAGACGGATTTGCATCGGGTGGCTGATCTAGGGTTTGGAAGGCGAATTAGGATCTCCACGAGGAGATCGCCGTCTCCCAATACGCTGATTGCCCGCTGCTTGCTCGCCATAGCTGCCGTCGGCGAGAGAGAGCTTTGGAACCAAAGCAGAATTCCGCTAATCCGCTAGGGCAAGCCAGAGTCAGACCCTAATGTGCCGCCGATTGCATTGCCCGAGCTATTGTCTTCTGGGCCCAAACATTTGGTCCAGGCCCAAACGTTTCTGGACCATACTGGGCCCAACTCATGCCTTTGTTCGGTCTTCCTAAAAAGGGAACATATTCTCAAAGCCAGCCTTATTATTCTTCCACCCCCAATATTTTAATCGTATCCTTATTATGCAAATTGCAAAGCAAAGCACCCTTTATAAAGCCAACGACTGCAAAAAAATGGACTGATCACTCTCATACACAGCTCCTCTTCTGGTTCGTTTCTAACCTTCTCCGTCGATCTCTAGAGAGAGAGAGAGAGGGAGGGAGGGACCAAAAAACAGAAGCAAAAAAAGAAAGAAGGCAAAAATTAAATGTCCGATTTTTGCATGTAATTTGTCGCGTTGCTGCCATGGCAATGCCAAAGCTCTTTTGACTAAACAAATCAGCATCCCAAGTGTCATCTCTGTTTTTCTCTTGGCCGTTTCTTACTTCCCCCAACTCACCACCGCCCATATAAACTCCACCGTCAGCGGCAGAGCCACCACAATTTCGAGTACAAGAACGAGGAGGAGATTCAAGAAACGGGAAAACTCAATTCTAGAGAGAGAGAAAAATGTCCTCTGATCTCTTTGTCCTCGATGACACTGCCTTCTTCCACCATTCTTCCCACAGCCCGGAAATGGTTTCCTCCGACGGCGCCGCCGACCTCTTCTTCTCCGACCAGCTCTGTTCCTCCTTCGACGTCTTCCCGGAACTCAACGACCCGGTTCACGATCCCTTCACCACCGCCGATTCGAACGGTACCGCTTTCGGTCCGACGGAGGCCGAGGCCGCGGCCGCGGCAGCCCTGCTCTGCTCTTCGTCGCCGCCGAGCCGCCAGCTGGAGGGCCTGACGATCGGCTACAACGGGCACCACCTGGCGCCGGGGAACGGTTACGGCGGCGATTTCTACTCCGGGCTGGAGTTGGAGGTGAAAACAGAGGAATGCCATGTGGGTTTGGAGGGTTTCGTCACGATGCCTCGGAATTACGGCGGCGCCGTCAATGACGACGTCGAGAAAGTGATGCAGAGGAGCTACAGCGGCAATTCCTTCGACGACGACGGCGGCGGCGGCGGTAGCAGAGGAGCTGGGGGTTTCTTCTTCCAGCCGCGATTCGACACGGTGCTGGAATCCCAGAGCTATCAGCAGCCACTGAGCTCGCCGGAGAGCAACTTTTTCGCCGGTCAGTTGAGAAGGGTTTGCAGCACCGGAGATTTGCAAGTAAGCAGCAAAAATTCACCCAACTCAAATCTTTCTTCTTCTTACATTTTCGTCCTCCCCTGTTTTTATATTCCTTCTGGGAATAAAATTGCAAATAGAATATGAGAAGAGGAAAGGCGACGCAGAGGTCGCTATCGAGCCCTTTAGCGACGGAGAGCTCGTTTACGGAAGAATCCCAATTCAAAGTCGGGCGTTACAGTGCGGAGGAAAGGAAAGAGAGGATCTCCAAGTACAGAGCTAAGCGAAGCCAGAGGAATTTCACCAAGACCATAAAGGTAAAAAAAAAAAAAAATGATAATTTATTACTTCAATAAAACCCCAGTGAATAAATTAACTACTGTCGCTGACGGTTTCAGGCTACTGATTATCTTTTTGGGTGTGTGTTGGTGGTTGTAAACTTTGGTAGTATGCATGCCGCAAAACGCTAGCGGACAACCGGCCGAGAATACGCGGCAGATTCGCGCGCAACGACGAGAGCTACTGTGAGATTCCAAAACCTGCTGCATCTTCTTCCACCACCACCAGAGACGAGGACGAAGATGATCAGCACTGGGTAATTAAATTTAATTATTACCGCCATTATTCTACTCTAGCATGATTAAGAGCCAATAATACTTTTTTTTTTAAGAGAAAGGTGGTTCTCTTTTTTTTTTTTTTGGTAAAAGCAAATAATTCTCTGTTCTTGAGCACTATATATATATTGTTTTTGGGTGGCAGTTTGATGGGTTCCATGGAGGAGAAGAAGAGGAAGATGGAGGGAACAACGGAAGAGTAGGAGGATGCTATGGAGAACAAGCTCAGTTTCACTATTATGGATATTAGTTAGCTTTCTAAGAAGAAGAAGAAGAAGAAACCTTCTTATTTGCAGTATTTTTACTCCTTCATAGTCATTAGCTAGGATTAATTAAGTTAAGCTAATCATATAAAGTGAGAAATTAAATGGAGAGAAGCAAGCAAGTGCTGTTGGATGGAAGAAAGGAATTCAGAGAGGGTTACTTTTGTAATATTGAATGATAATATATATATATATATATATATATAATAATAATAATAAATTATGAGAAGAAGTGTTATCATTTTCTTCAGGAGAAATAAAACAAATATTATTGCACAGAGTGAAGGGAAGAAGGGTGGTAGTTGAAGCAGTTCAGTTTTTAGCAGTTAATGCATGTTCCGTATCTCTTTTCTTAAATTTTATTTTTGGTGTTTTGTAATCATTGACATCATTTTTCTGGGTTGGGTTCACTCACTGTGTTTGCATAAATGCGTCAGTCAATAACCTCTGACCTCTTTTTAAGAGAGGGAAATGGGTTATTAATTGTGAGTGCAGACATTTTGACTTTGAATTGGGCGGCAGCAGCAAAAACCCTAGTGCTTAATTATATATTGTAATCTGCTTGTAATAATTAAACATCTACCTCACTTAATTAATTGCTTAGTTACTGGGATATTCGATTTCATTCGTGGGGTATAGATTTGATGAAACACTTTCTTCTCCTAATGCATTTCACTTTCATCGGCGATTCGTCGATCATGGCCTTGATTAGAAGGTGCTAGTTTGAATTTGGTTAAAATTTGTTAAACTATGAGTCTCCATTATAAAATTTAATAGAGTTAAATTAAAGTCTACTGAAATTAGAAGGACCAAAACAAGTTGGATCAGCCCATGGTAATTAAGTTGCAGCTCACATTTGTTAGACACAAGCTTATTCCAGAAGAGCAGTAATTTAGGTTAGATTACACTATTACTTTAACCTTAGAACTCAAGTGAATTTGGAGTCATAACGGACTTTAGTTTGGGGAAGTTGGAAGCTATTTGAGGGAAGTTGGAAGCGGGCGACATGTACTTGATCGTCGTCGTCGTCGTTCACGACATGACTAACTAGTTGAAGGTAGTTTGATGAGCAGTTGAGGATAAACGACACACACGATTGTGCCGATATGACATGGAGTATATACTACGTGGCGTATTATTAGTGGTGAAAAACATGTTGCGGCATTCAAAAGGATTTGACTGGTATGTGCAACATGTCACGTTACGAATATATGTTAACACAATAACGAACTTAACACGTATTATACCAATGTTACTATTATTTTTCCTCCTTTCCTACTCAAACTCTAACAACTTCCTCCTGATTATGAACACGGTGTGAATATACGATTTTGGTTTCTTACAAAGAATAACTATCATTACAAGGTCTCTCTCCGTTGGAATCTCGTTAATGCATTGAACACAAATACAATGTGTTAGTCGATATGTTTTCCAGTGGATAAAAATTGACAGGAGAAAAAAATACAAATACAAATCTCTTTGACTAATTTTTTCTGATTTACTAGATTAATGAGGACAGAACGAATAATACAGCAAAACTAGCTAACAAATGCACAGCTGATGTCAAGAAGGGGAGACAAAGCCTTTAATTTCCCCCAAAACTTTTGCTTATCTTACAGTTAAAAGATTCTAATTAAGCTTTTATTATTATTATTATTATTATTATTACTATTATTATGTGTTCAATATATTCCTACAGCCTACTCTTTTGTATACTGCTGCTCTCCCCAGTACAAAAGCAAGTTCTTCCAACTAATAGTAATAGTCATTCAAAACTGAAGCATCATTGACAACATTCGGCAATAAAAATAAGAAGTTGGCACCTTTTTGTGAAAAGCATATTTACAAACGATTCAACAATTATGATTGGTCGATCCAATACAGCAACAATGACTGTATAACACTATAACTTACATGGATTGAGATTTGAGAGATACAATTGAATTTGGGAGCTCACCAATTGTACAATCTTGAACGTCAATAAACCTGTACGAACGTTAGAAAGAATCATCAATTTTCTAGGGGAAAATATAATTTTTGGACCATGTTTTTCGTGTGTATTAGTTGGACTTCAACATATTGTTTAAATTTTTTCTTTGATAATTTTTAAATAAAAGTTGTGACTTATATTATCTTAGATGACTGTAATCTCATTTGACTTTAATAAACTGTCTTTTAGAAGACATGGTTGTTTAAATAAAACAAAACAAAACAAAACAAAAAAACGTACATGATATGTGTCATCCTCACATATATATAATTAATGTGGACGGCATATATGCTTAGTTAGTAACTTAGTATAGGTAAAACTGTTACTTTTTACCGTTTAATTTTTTTGTCACTAAATCAAAATAGGAACCACCTCTGAAATCACAGATATGTTATATTATCCTGAAATTCATACAACACCTGGCAGCCTAGCCTAGAAATTGACGGATCATCAGATATTAATTTCTGTATGCCGCACTTGAGAGAATTGTTAATTTCACATAAACACCTTTTGTGTAGTGTGCTTGAATTGTAGTTTTCAACAGGGGTATCGATTGGTTTCTTTTATGAGTCGAGATCTTTGCTCCATTGCCCAAATTTGGACTGAACAGAAAGAGCACATCATAGAAAAGGGGACATGCAACCAAAAAAATAAAAAAAATAATTAATTCATTCTAAGATGCCTCTAATTTCCAATCAAGAGTGCAGTCAAAGAATTTTCCAGGCTAGAGGGAACTTAG